TGTAGCGGGATGGTGGGAAAAATTTGTTCAGAAACTTCTCTTCTACGTTACTCCAATCAGTCAAACTTTGATTAGGATATGCCTTCAGCCACTCCTTTACCCTACCTGCCAAGGAAAAAGGAAACAATCTCAAATATGCAGATTCCAAATTTGCTGCTCTAAATCCCATGGTAACAATCAACTCATAAAAAGTAGACAAATGAGTGTAAGGGTTTTCATGATCCAATCCAGTGAATTGATGAGCACTAATCAAGCTTAAGAAAGCTGGATTCATCTGCAATATTTGATCGTCCGGTACGGCAATGCTGAAAAAGTGTCTCGGACCTTGCTGCATAACATAGTTTCTGAGTGTTCTTCTAGGTGGATTTGAATCTGGATTTTGATTTGGATTTTGATTTTGATTTGGATTCAGATTTGCTCGATCTTCTGCCATATCTTCTATAATTGGGTCTGGTAAATTGAGTGTAGGCGAAGGGTTAACAGATTCTCTTGTTACTTGTTCTTGAGTTTCTCTTTTTCTTCTACCTTGGTTCCCCCGAGCGGTTTTTTCAATCTCCGGATTAAATTCTAATTGCTCTGAAGATACATGTCCTCTTAAACTCATAAATCAAAAGAGTAACTCAAGCAAAGATTAGCACAAGACAATAATTAAGCAAAATAAAACTGAAAAATAAAACAAAAATAGAAATAAAAATAAAATACTCATAAGCTAAACAAAGAATTCTCAAAGAACACCGCTCCCCCGGTAACGGCGCCAGAAATACTTGTTGAATTGTTGGCAAGCGTACCAAATTTATCAATCGTAGTATAGTATTTCAATTAAATAAAAGTCGATCCCACGAGGAATGGTTTCAATGGAAATTTTCAATTATATGCTTACTAAGTGGATTAAAACAGAATGGGTTTGCATAAAGAGTTGAATTGAAATTAAATGACAAAGAACTGTAAATTGTTAAGAAAAGATCAATTAAAGACACTTAAGATTGACTTCCTTCCTTATCCCTCTATTGTAATTGCTATGTCAATTAAGAACGTTAATTAACCTAACAATTTTGATGTCATCTACTCAAATCATTCATGTTGATTCCTCACACATGAAATTCATAAGAAAACCTAATAAATGTTGATTCCTCATACAATTAAGAGATTTTATAGCATTAGGTTTAGGGTGTTAAGCAATTGATACATTCATTCAATTCCTAGCAATTAACGTAACAAATATTCTTACCGTGATCTAGGATTCAAGATATATTTTCCAATCATATCCCAAACATCAAGAATAAATCATTCAAAAGCATAAAGGATAAGAATAACAACATCAAAACATAGATTAATATCTCAAAATATCACCATGATACAAAAGAGTTCAAAGGAAGTGCATCAAATCCCAAGAGAATGAAGTTAATCACTCATGTTGGCCATTACAATGCTCCAAATAAGGAAGAAGTGAAGAATTGATCAAGATTGGACGAAACCCTAGCAGTAGTCATGTCTCTTCTCCCCAAAACCACTTGCTTTTCTCAAAACACATCTTATCTTTTTATAGGAAAAATTGGGCATCACGTCTTTCGCTCAAGCGACAACTTTCGCTCGAACGAAAGTTTCCTATTTTCGCTCAACCGACAAAATGCTCGCTTGAGCAAGTGAACTCCAGAGAAGAATAACTAACATTCGCTCAAGCGAATTTTCTTGCGCTTGAGCGACTGACTTCCAGAGAAGAATGACTAATATTCGCTCAAGCGAGAGTCCATCTCACTCAAGCAACTTCCATGCTGAAAATCTTCTTCCTTCTTCCAATTTTAATCCAATTATGCTGACAATTATGCTCCTTACTCTTGTATCAAGGAATTCTCGAATTCATCCTATATTGGGAGAAAAATATATTAGAATTAACATAAGTTAAGTAGTTTCATAATAATTCAAGGCATAATTATATCAACTTTTTACTACTTAACATAAGGTCAATGTGTATTGTTAAGAATCAGAGTAACTGTATAAGAACTCACAACTAAAATAAAATATGAGAAAAAATAAACAAAATCCACAATAGGCAATAATAGAATTTTACTATTGGAAAAAATTGCAATACTCTCCTTAAATCTAAGGAGAAAACAATAATAATACTCTCTCTCAGAAATAAGAAAATTCAACTACTGTGCAATGCACTAATAGAAAAGAAGAAAGAAGAGATTTTGGGTGATTTATAAAATAAATATTATGTTCCTTTTATAACCAAAAAAGTAAGTACCAACATATAATTTATTCGATGTGAGATTTCTTTACTCACATTCTCACATGTATGACTTCACATAGGTGAGGGTTAGGGTTTGAGCTCACAAAGAGACGATGATAATAAGGTGAGGGTTTAGGTTCACTATAAGAAGATGATGTTATAAAGACGAAGGTTAGATGCCGATATTAACAAGGAGATGATGACATAGATGAAGGGTCGGGATTCGATCTTTTGATATTAAGTTTCAAGCTCATTGAAAAATAAGATCAAACAATAATAATACATTTATAGTGAACAAAATAAATTAATCGTTACCTATTGATTAAATAAACAGGTAATGTAAAATTTACACAAAAATATTTACCCATATGTAAATATTCATGGATAAATCATAATTTGTCTATAGATCAAATCAATAGGTGATATTTATATGTAAATGATAATTTACTTACGAATTTTCATTGTAAATTTTTGTATAATTAGATAATTTCTTAATTAACATAATTTTTTATTCTTGTGGTTGCTTAATTATATTATTGCAATACAACATAAATATCTCCATATGTAAACAATATAATAACTAATAATTTGTTTAACAATAAAATTCAAATCATAACAATATTACTTAAACATTTAATCAATTACATAACAAATGAAAATCATTACTTCATTGTACAATTCAAATCACAGGAACAATACTCAAATATTAATGAACTACATAACAAATGAACCTCATTTTTTCAATAATATTACTAAAAACACAATAATAGTACTTACATATTATCAATTAAATAAAAACTTAACGTAGAAAAGAAACTGGTTACATAATATGTAAATCAAATCTAAAAAACAATAAATTTAATAATTTCTTCCAAAGTCAACGAACTTAATACTTATTGCGCCACAGAATAACTTAAATTTGTGTCACCCGATCAAACCATCTCCCCACATTCACCATTTGCAACTAAAAACCTATAAAAAATTAACAAAAGAAAATGTAATTTTTGTTTTCAAATATACAACAACAGTACTTCTTATCAAATAGGTAATTTTTTTATTTTAGATTAAATTTTTTTTATAGAATTTAATAGAATTTAAAAATGAAAAACCTTTATTTTTTTTATTTGATATAAATATGTGAGCTCAATGAGAGGAGACCTTGACGTCCAATTTTAAAAGGGGGAAATTTTATTGCATTGGATCTATCTCAATTTTTAAAAATTGCAAAATCGAAATTCATTAATTCAGCTTTTGATTTCATAAAAGACGACTTATCAAGAAAAAGGGGCAAATTGAATCAATTTTACCACACAAATCGAGAAGTCAAATCTCATTTGCTCCAACAGAGCTAGGGATTGAAATGGATTGATATTGGATTTAAGGATTACGTATGTGAAAAGGGTTACAAATTCATATATACTTTATGAGGCTAATTCATATATATATATATATATATATATATATATATATATATATATATATATATATATATATATATATATATATATATATATATATAAATTAAAGAAAAGATAACGTTGCAACTTCTCATGAGGCTAATTTCAATGGAGAGTGATATATGAAAAGCACCCGTATAAGTTTCAAAAATCAACTTAAAATGATTGGAGAGCATACCAAAAGAAGCAACTATGAGCATTAGTTGCTCAAAGGATCTTTACTTCAATTATTTTTTTCTATTCATTCAACAATTGTTAACTCAAAAAGTAATTTGTATCTAGCTTTTCAATAATTAAGTATAATAATGGAATAGATCCTGATTTAAAAAAAAATCAAAGTTAAGATAAACTTAAAAATCAATTTAATTGCTTTACTTATGGAAATAATTGTGGTGATATTTCCCAAAAAATTAACAAAAGCCATTAAAAGCAGTGCTATAAATTTGATGGCCAACTTGATAATGATGATAATCTAACTCTTTTAGCAAAGGATTTAGAAGAAGATCACTCATACGGAAGAGTGATTCGAATAAATCTAATTTTTGGAAGACGTGACATGGCACTTGTAAAAGATATTAAAAAATAAAGCAACCAAACCATAAGAAAAAAAAAAGAAGAAAAAAACTTTATGCATATGAACAACTGGAAACCCTTTACAGCATTGTTAATTAATAAGATAAATTTATGTGCAATTACTAATTATTTTTAATCAAAACTAGAGTTTTATTCAATAAAAAAAACAGTGTAGATAAATAAAAAATAACTTTAAATATAGTCAAATTTCAATTTCAATTTCAATTTCACACATTTAGAAAAATATTGTTCAAAAGAAATATTTATGATTAGTTATTGAGTATCCACTTAAAACCCCTATATCAGGATCAGCATCAGCATCAGCATCACCAAACACCCGTTGTTCACGGGAAGTGAGTCACATGCAAGAGCTTTTCATGGGCAAATACAGACATGACTTGAATAAATCTATATAGTCTATGTTTATGTTACATATAAGCTTTACATGACATGCACCTTCACCCAATAATTTTATATTACATATACATAGCTCTGTTCTCGAGATGAACTGAGATGAGGAGAGAGAATTTCCAAAGCAGTAGATCACAGATGTAGATAGACGTGGAAGCATGGAGAATTATTGGGCATGTGGCTCTGATTCAATCCATTTTGTCCATTATGTGTAATTGTCCAACCACAGCTGTAACTAACCCCCAAAACCTCTCTCTGGCCCCACCACCCTTCTCAATCCAAACCCTTGTCTCTCGCTCAAATCTCAGATGGCACCATTTTTTTCACTACTCAACCTTCCAAGCATATAGAAACAAGCAAAATTCTGATGACTCGTTCACACTAAACCCCTCCAAGGATCCAGAACTCCCCGTTTGAGTCGATAAGGGTGTGGATGTGGATGACAGCGATAAGGGTGGTGAAGATGATGAAATTGAATGCGATGATGATGACATAGACAAAGACATGGATGATAAAACAGGCTTAAAAATGAACAAAGCGTGTTTCAAACCAGGACTAAAGAGCCAGTCGTGCACATCCCAATACACCTCCACTCTCATCTTGTTCAGATGAATCGACTCGTTCCCTCTGAACTTCCATTGCAAGTGCTTCACGTGGATCACCACGTGCCCGTCAAATCTTATCTCCATCTCTGGCTGAACATGAACCCCACTCGAAGATTCCCCTCCGATGTTGCTTTTGTTCTTGCACTCAATCGAGATCTCATGCCACCTACCCTTCTCGTGAAACTTGGCTCTTGTTGAGAACTTTCTCTTCCCAAATATGTGCTCTTTTTTCGAAACCAGAATCGGGTCGATTAGTGCTGGTCTGCACCCCGTTCTTCTGTACGCTTCTTTCCTCAAATCACCGACCAGGAGCACGACCTCCTGGTCGCACACCACGGCAACGTAGTACTCCGAGGTCGGTTCCGTCTCGCCGTTGAATTTCGCAGCCTTAAGGTCCCAGAAAATGTCAACCGCTTTGTTACCGTGTACGAGGAAGCGCTTGGAACCTTGTTTTCTCCAAAAGTACCATGGTTTGAGCTCCACCTTGCAGCTGTATTGAGCCTCTCCTTCCGGGCCTTCCACTGAGACTGAGAGCCCATGGAGCATCAAGTTCTTGCACCATGTGATGGTGATCAAGCGGCAGTGGTCAGCAATCTTTGTTCTGTACACGGACATGTGCACGCTCTGGCCTGAACGGGTCACGGTTGTGTGATCATCACTTGATTTCAACGCAGAAGAAAAGCAAGCTGGAATCCCAATTGCGTCTTGCATTGTTGTTGATGATCAACTCTTTGATTCCGAGTCAGATAAGATCAGTATTAAAACTTTGTTGTTGGTGATGAATGCTTCAACATAAAGAAATTCTTCCCAGAAAACAATCTTGTTCGACTCAGACAATACTTGTTGTTCACGATAAACCCTTTAACCACAACTCTATGAAACAACCTTGATCGTGTGAGATAATTCGATTGATAAAATATTGCAGTTGTTGATGATGAACTTTGAGTACACAATGTGAACGCTGACTGCGTGTCTAGAGAATCACCAGTGATTCTGATCTCTAAAATTACATATAAAAAGTGAAAGTGGTTATTTGATGTGTTGACATTGAACATTGAATTGAATCTAATTCAAACTTGTAGTAACAAGAGGGATGAGAATGGGGTTGGAAGGAGTGGGAGGTGAGTGAAGGAGAGATCTGCGTGAGAAGGTATGGGAAAGAAAGCAAGGTGGTGGCAGAAGTGTTTAATGGTGGTTTGGAAAGAAAATTATATATTTCCAAAGTGGCTGGCATATGCACTGGCAGTGAGTGAGAGTTAAATGGAACAACCCCTTTAATATTGTGCCCAACTGTCAATAATCTCTCGCACCTGTCTCCTCTTTAAATTTTATTTCACTTCCAACCTCCATAATAGGTCGTTCACATTTGATCCCAAACACTTCAAAGCTATATATTAGTTTTTAAAACACCATTTCTCACAGTTTTAAACAGCCAGATCAATTAAAGCAGAAATAATAGCACATGGTTATTGATAATTTACTTCATATATGCCACAACAACAGTTCAAATCAAATACCTCCAAATTGATGCAAAGAGAAGCAAACATTTCAACACTATAAAACAAGTGGCCACATTATGGACGATCTTTAGCGAATGTTTAAAATAGTCAATATTGATACTGTAAGAATTTTACCAAATGGGTTCAAAATGTTATCAAATTCTTAAAAAATTACTTAAAAGATTAAATCTTCTTACATTACATGATTTTAAAATAAATAAAAAAATAGAACTAAAATCGTATTTCTTAAACAAATTCAATTTATTTATTTTTTTATAAAACTAAAGTAAACAAAAAATAAATATATATTAATAAAATTATTTTTACATTTAAATTGTATTATATTATTTATTTTAAAATTAATATTAAATATATTTTTCAATTTTTCATTCAAATAATATTTTACTTAATTTTATATATTAATATAATTAAAAACATTTATTATTTATATAATACAAAATATACATATAATAATAAAAAATTTACATATAATATAATATTATATAACAAAATTTAAACTTTAAAAAATATATATTATTTAATTTTATAATAAAACTATTATATATATATATATATATATTACTTTTATTAGATATACTACTTATACAACGTAATATAAAATAATAATTAATATAAATAAAATAATTAATCAATATAATATTTTATAACTTATAAAATACATAATCCCTTTGCGTAATTTAAAAAAAAAAATTGACTCAGATATGCTAACATTTTTAACTCATTTTAGTAAAAAAGCAGATATTAACCACTAAAGAAATAAATATCTTCCAAACTAACTTATTACTTAACATTAATAGAGAGGAATAGAGAAGGCTAAGAAACCAGACCCACTTCTTTATTTTACTAGGACGATAATTATTATTTATTTTTTCTAGAACAGATTAAAATATCCCTTACTCAGATATAAGTTTCAATTAGATATAAAAGATGCTCTAAAATACTGAATCAATCCAGATTATTTTTTAAGTCGCCCATTCACAGTGTAATTTATTCTCAGAAATTGAAACTCACGTCTAATTAATAACACAAAAATTATTTAGAGCAACTCTAATAGAAATTGTTTGGTAAGATGCTTAAGCAAATATTAATTATTTGAAATAATTTTTTATTGTAGGAATTATGTGAAGTATAGTATCTTTAAAAACAAACAAAACGAAATAAATAATGAAAGAGAATAAGAGAGAAATGAATTCTTTAAAATATATTAAAATAAAATTAGTAAAAATGATGTGATACAATGACGAAAGCAATTTCTATTTTAACGACTAAAAAAAGTTTATTCATTTTGAGAATATAAAAAAGTCTCAAATTAAAAAATGAAAAATGTTTAAGTCTTGTTTTTTAATTAGGTTCATAATTTAATTCTGTTAAAAAAATAATGATAACAGTATTCAATTATCATCTATGCATACGAAAAAGACTAATTTAATTTTTTTACTGTTTTAATTGAATGCCTTCTGAAAAAATAATATATATTTTCCTACTTAAAATATAATTTGACGATCTAAAATAAAATACCATTATTTTTAAAAAATAAAATTCAATTTTATCTATTCCAAGATAATTATTTTTCTTCTAGAACTTTTAAAAGGATAGAAAACTTAACTTTTAATTATTTTCTCTTTATTCTTTTTATCCCAGTTCAAATAACCCAAAAATTTTGTCCATTCTATTTTTATCTTTTTATTTATTTCTATTTTACTCATTTTCTTCTCTTTTTTTATCACATAAAAACAAAGTATGGTTGGCATCCAGCGTAAAGTCATGTTTGATATTTCTAATTTTTATTTTATTTTAAAATATTATAATATAACTTTATACTTATTTGGGATAGAGTTCAAATCAATTTCCGACGAATATATTATATCTGAAATTAATTTAGTCACGTATGTTAATCGTATGTAATAATTTGAAATATATTTTATATAATTTTAAAAACGAATACATTAAAACTAGTTTACCATAACTTTCATATATTTTTTATTTCTTCCAACCTCCTTCAATTTATGTGGAAAATTAAAGATACGATAATTTCGGGAGTAATTTATTTAATAAAAAAAATTAAGTATTGATTTACGATTATTTTAATATATATCATTAGCTAAATGGTCTCTTATTCATTTTGTGATTAATAAATATTGAAACTAATGATGATTAGTTGAATAAGTTCAAGATTATTTGTATCACACAAACTCTTAATCAAGAGAATCTATCATAGTTAGGTCCTTTATTTTTTTCTCCTTTTTTAATGAATATAATAAGTTTTGAAATACATGTAATGGGATAACGTTCCCACTTAGGGATGGCAATTAAACCCGTACCCGTGGGGATCGACCCGTCCCGCCCCGAGTTTGACTGGGAAAACCCGAGTTGACCGGGCGGGGTCGGGTTCGAGTTTTCCCGCTTTAAAAAGTCGGGACGGGCGGGGATGGGTAATGCAATCCCCACCCCGACCCCGACCCCGTCCCCGCCCCGACTTTATATTTAAATTTAAATTTTAAAATATTAATATTTTAAAAGTATTTCATTTTCTTTTTCTATTACATATAAGGTTATTTTTTTATATTTCACCAATTTTTATTTTTCTTCTACCCACTTTTTAATTTTTTTATCTTTTTCAATCTTTTATATCAATTAATTTATTATATTATTCTCTCCCTTATCTTTCAGCTTTTTCACATTTTCTTAGTCTCTCCCATCAATTTGTTTTTGTTTTTCAATTTTTTCAACCAATTTGATGAACACAAAGATAATCTTTTTTCTTTATCTTTTTCTAAATATTTTACATCAATCTTAGTAGTAACTAATATTAGTTTATTTATAATTTATATTTAGTATGTCATATTTTTTTATCTTATTATGCTTATTTATCATATATCAAATTTTATCTTAATAAAATAATTGCATTTTAAAGGATTAAAAGAAATTAATAATTTAAACTTTTATTACTTCAAACTAATTAAATAAGAATTAACTTATTAAATATTTTCTTATAAACTATATATAGACAACTTAAAAATGAATTAACTTATATGTATAATTAAATATTTGAATACAATATTATAATAACAATGTTATAAATATTTAAATATTTGAATACAGTGTTATAATAATAATAATAATAATGTTATAAATATTAGATATATATATATATAAATAAAAAATAATTAAATATTTCTTTTACATATATATTTTAACATAAATATAATAAATTAAAATGTATATTTAATTAATAATAACTATAAATTATAAATATTTATTTATATATAAAAATACATAATAAAATTATTTATTATAAATATAATTATCTTTTTAAAAATAATATAAATCGGGCGGGCGGGCGGGAACCCGAAACCCAGCGGGACGGGGATGGGGACTTAATTCCTAACCCCGTGGGATCGGGCGGGACGGGATGGTTAAAAAGTCGGGCAGGCGGGCGGCAAAACCCGCCCCGCCCGCCCGTTGCCATGCCTATTCCCACTTTTTCAAACATAACAATTGCGACTAGTTTCTCCATATTCACATAAAAGAGTTAAGATAAAGTGAGACACGTGTAAGTGTAACATTAGAATAATAATTTAAAATATATTTTATTTGAGTAACTACTACACCAATATTTATTATGTGGAGCAATTCTTCAATATCCCTAATCAATGCTTTTATGGTTTAATAAAATATAATTATGAGTAATGAGTAATTAATGGTAAAAAAAAAAATAAAGAAAACGTGTATATATATATATATATATATATATATATATATATATATATTATTCTTTATATTTTTAAATATATTTATTTTTTAATACTTTTTTACTCCAATTTATATACTCATTATTGAATATTTATTATTTTTTTCTTTTGCAAAATTTAATTTTAGGATTATTTATGACAATTTGCTCATCAACAAAAAAAAATATGTACATTAGATAACATTCATTTTTTCCTCTATATTGAATTTAAATCGAGATGTCAAACCAAATTTATTAAATTTTTTCTATTTTTTTTATCTATTCAATATGGTTTAATATGCTTTCTCTTTTGTTTCATCAATTTATTTTTTAATTAAAAATTATTTCCTATCTATTTTTCTTTAATGTTCTATTCACTCTATAGATATACTATAGGAGAAGAACTGAGAGGATGAATATGAGCTTATGCATTCTCATTTGCATCTATTGGTTTGCAGGGA